AGGAATTTGTTTGACATAATGAAAAAAAACTTATTTTCGAAAATGGAAATGGCTTTTATAAAAACCACCTATAAATACAAAATGCATCAATTTCAAAGATATTGTACAGAAAGTCATGAAATGAGTGGTTTGTTTTTTCCTTTCTTTTTCTTTTAAAAAATCTAATCTCTCCATCCCTGTAACCTTGAAATAATATTTCTTTTCTCCTACAGTTTTAATTTTTTTCTTAATTCTGGAAATCCGAGAACCAATGGTTTATAATATGTGCTCCTTTGGACTCGACACATTTTAAACGCGTCGTTCGTAATGTTCAGTGGCGGCCAAACACACTGATCCACTCAGCCATGAGTATTCAGAGCCACATACACTGTACACATTACAGCATGGAGCTGTTTCTTGAGACAATTGTAGGAGGGGGGAGGAGAGGTTGCCCAAATAAACAACATATTTTGTGGAGTTGACATAACCTGAAAGGTGAATATGGGCTTAGCCAAGGAACCAAATGTCAAAGAGGAAATGTTCACGCTTTTCAAGACGATCGACGAATCATGAACACATTGCTATCCTCTGATAGCTTCGTGAACGGGAAAATGGTACAGTCGTAGATAAAGATCTGCCTTGAGAAGGTGGACCATTGAGATGTAGGAAAGTCATTGCTGCAGACATCGTCTACGGACAGACGTCTCATGGCGCCTACTGAATTCTGCACCCTGGCGACGTTCAAAGGGAAGAGAACGGTGTGCGTTTGACCTGAAGTGGTTATTTTGTCTGGGAATTTTTAGTTCTGATTCTCTACAGGTTCTAACTGACGGACCATTTCCACCCTTGACACCAAAGAAGGTCTTAAGGGAACTTTAACATGAGTTGTTGGTAAGGAAATGTTCAAGGTAAAAAGCTCTCTACTCTTTACAAATCTTAACCATGATCTCAGCCAGCAAAGGAAACTTGAGAAAAACGAACTGCAAACCTCTGTCGGCCTGTTAAACTACTGTAGTTTGCAATAAGGCTCAGTCGTTGGGATTTGCGTACTAGATCTAGTGCGTCATGCTACAAAAAAATGGGGACAGAGCTGAAAATGGTTTGGGTTTTTTTTCGCGCTATGTAGATCAAAACTGTTCTGTGGATTTATCTAAAATGAACATCAAACGAATTCCTTTTGACTTTCAAATGTTTGGTACACATTTGAAACTCAAAATTTCACTGTGGAGGAAAATATTACATGTAACAATATAGGTAGTTCAGTGTTTTTTGGATCCCCTTGTATTTAGATTTCGCCTTCCTCAAAAACGCACAATAAGATAATATAATTTATACCAAACAATGTTAGCCACAGTCCCACGATAGAGAAGATGACAGTCCCTTTCCCGTTCCACCTACATGTATGTGATGAAACGTGACCAAGTAAAAGAAGATAACAAAGAAGACAAGACAGATGATGGATGAGACTGAATAAATTAATAAGAGGTTGTCAGATGGCCCTCTCTACAGGCTCATGGACTCCTCCCCGGAAACCACTCTGGACGCTAGCACAAAACCAGCCTACTACAGCATCTTTCTTCACGTGTATAATTCCCTGCGTTGGTCTGGCGAGAAAATTACAGTAGTGCTAGAGCTATTGATATGACATCTTGGCTAGGCGAGTAGAGAAGATCCATTGTCAGATGGTGGGCCAACAGGGTAGCCTGATCAATGGACAACGACCTATCAAATTCCATGACATTCTGGCTCCCGTTGGGTTGCCTTGGGGGAGTCGAGCGAAGCACTCCTTGTCCTAGGTTTTTTTTTGTTTCGTTCCACCGAGATCTGTTGTTATAGTTTTGTTGGAAAGTGGAAAGATCTGGCTGTTTTGGTTTGTTTGCGCTTCTTTTACGTTTTTGTTGCTGCTCTCTCTCTCTCTCTCTCTCTCTCTCTCTCTCTCTCTCTCTCTCTCTCTCTCTTGCACACAGCATCTCAAAGATCTACTTTATGATACCCTGAGTATTATGTGCAAATACACATTCACCATACCCCCCCACACACACACACTTTTTTGTCTCCCTTTCTTAACAAACGGCTAAAACTCTCACGGTTGGGAGCAGCCAACTAATTACTGTATGATGGCATCTATCTATCTATCTATCTATCTATCTATCTATCTATCTATCTATCTATCTATCTATCTATCTATCTATCTATCTATCTTGA